AAAAGTTAAAATGATGTTTTTTTTTATTTTCAGTTTTTACATACATATTATTTTATGCATGAAAAAGGTGCATTTCACTCTTAGAAATGAAAATACCGGGGCTTTTTATGTGATATGAATGCCTTCTGTAATATAAATGTAAAAAAATCAGAACTTTGATGTTTGGATATGCAAATACATAAGAATTAAGTGGTATATCTGTAAACGCCCCTATTATTTACTGATATCAGCACTCTCTCGCAGCTCCACCGACCGCAAAGTCGACGATCCCGAGCTTCTGGAAGCGATTCGCTTAACAATAATCAACAATCTTCTCCAATACCATCCAGTAATCTTCATTTCCAATCATTTCATTCTCATGATTTGTTATATTTATCAACATAATGTCTTTGTTTTTCGAGCGAAAACTACATGCAATATCCGCACATGCGAATCGATTGTATTGAGGTTGTATTCACCTCTATTACATGTAGTATCCGCATGTGCAGATTGGTAGTATTATAATTGTATTCACGTCAACACATCCCAATACCGCCAATCCGGACCAAGCTCATCCACACGTAATATTTTTCTACTGGTTGATCTGGCAGGAATCCAGTAGCAAGTTGGCCATGGGAGCGGCGTTCGGCATCGAGCCGCCGGAGGAGCAGATCGACGTCGATATTGCGACGCACGTGAATATTTACGATGACGGACCGAACCGAAGCTTGCTGGTCGTCGACACAGCGGACCGGCCGGGGCTGCTCATCGACCTGGTGAAGATCATCACGGACATCAATGTAACGGTTCAGTCCGGGGAGTTTGATACTGAGGGGCTGTTGGCAAAGGCCAAATTTCATGTGAGTTACAGAGGTGAAGCTGTCAGCAAGAATCTGCAGCTGGTTCTGGCGAACAGTCTGAGGTATTATTTGAAGAGGCCGACCACAGAGGAAGCAAGTTTTTAATTTTAATCTTCTCAAAAGAGTAGTTTTGAAAAAAAAAATTTTATTTGCAATTTTTTTTTTCTAATTCTGA